CTTAGAGTAACCGATAAATCTCCAGTAACCAAAAAGCAGATATCCGTCCAAACCACTATCACAGAGGATATTCACTCTCCAGAGGATTTCGGCAATGTCCTACTGAAGGTCAAAAACATGAGAGGTTCTAGGCCGAACAAAACGCTACATACACCAACGGTAACTGCATCCATCTCAAGCCATCAAGCTGCACCAGAAACTGCAACCAGCGGACAACATAAGGCATGGGTCAGGGTGGAGAAAAGAGCTCGAATTATCTGTGAAAATGCACCTATGAGATCGGATAATGTTGGCATCACTGACAAATCTAGCTCTGTCACCCTATTTAACGTTCCTGTCTGCGATGGTAGCCTTTTGGAGCATAAGGACAAGTTTGACAGGCAGCAGTGGGACTCCTTTTGTGCCATGCTGGGTCTGAGCGCTCTCGAGGTAAAACTGTGTTGACTGTACAAAGACACCCACTCACCCGCAGGGAAACCTCCACCCACGAGCGTGACTCTAGGCTCAACTAGAGACGCTGAAAAGTTGCTCTTACTGTCACACACCGTAGTCATCAACAGATCGTCCAACTTTAGATCTAGATCTGACCGATCATGGTTGTCGAGAAAGACCACTGGAGAAGCAGCTGGTCCACCAAAACACACAACCATGGTCGTAAATAGAATACCTGAAATGGTGACCGGTACCCCAGGTGATAAGCACACCCATGATGTCCAACAATGGGAGTGATTATCGTCCCGGGTGGAGCTCAGTGGGGTTGCAGCAGTGGCAATCATCAGACTGCCACGCTCCTCGCATCTGACAACCACGACCTCACCGGACTAATGGCTGCAACTTCGAATCCCCAGAGATACTCACCAAAGTGATGGAGACGCGGTGCAAAATCAAGAGCAATACAAGCGGTAACGTTCGCTTCTATGAAAACAGACCGAGAACACTCTGACAAGGACAGGCCGCAGTTACTCCCTGTGCTGAAGCCACCTTAATCCTAAACCGAAACGTTGAGAGTGAGACCGGCAGCCTCCACCCACCACCGACTGCACCAATTGACGCGGGACAAGACTTGACTGGGCCAGTCCCATTGGAACTGGCCGGTCAGCAGAAACCCTCCCATCCAAACCTGCACCACTAGTTAACCCAGAGACAGCTGACGTTACGAGAGGTACCTCCAAGTGTCTCTACAGCAACGTGAGGGGACTCCAAAGTAAAATGTAAGAGCTCTGATCGCTCTATCTCGGCCGCGGCCCGAAAACCATGATCCTGACAGAAATATGGTTATCACCAGACATAAGTGACACAGAAGTTAACATAGATGACATGATTCTGTTCAGGAGGGACAGAGAACACAGGGACGGAGGGGAGTTGCAATATACGTGAACAGTTGGTCCAGAAGTGAACACACCACTGACACGGTACTGACGGATCTCTCAGACTCTATCTGGTGTCACTTCATGATCGAACATACCAAATTCCTGGTTGGAGGAATCTATAGGTCCCCCAATAGCAACTTGGAACACAACCAAAAAAATACTCCAAGCCATGTCCACAGTGTCAACTATAGGATATGAACAGATTCTAATAGCTGATGACTTCAACGCTCCAACCCCAAGCCTGGAGCAAGGCGGCACGACTTCTAGCCAGAATTTCGACTGTAACCTGCTAAATGCCATCCAGATGGCTGGACTGCAGGAAAAAATCAGCGACAACACCCGCTTGGGGTCAGAGGGTAAACCATTTAAACTGGATTACCTGCTGAATAGTGAACACCATCTAGTTGAAAACGTTTAGGTCCGAACTCCTTTCGGAAGCAATGATCACTCCATGGTAGTGTTTGATCTGGTAATCAATGAACAGTTATCATGGGAGGAACCTCCCCCTTACCTCTGTCACAAAAGGACGAACTACAAAAGTATGAACAAGAGTCTATCAAGAGCTCCAGGGCCAGTGGATTGGTGTTCCTTATCCGTCTACCAACACTGGGAACTGATAAAATGCATCATTAGGGCGGCCATCTCGCAAAAAAGTCCCCTTGGTCGTAACAACAGCCAGAAAGCGGACCTCATGGCTAAAAAGAGGTACTGGGCGCCTTCTAAAAGCCAAGAGAAGAGCATGGCACACATGCAGACTCTCCAGAGAACAGGACGATCGTGATACATACATGGCTCTACGGAACCAAAGCAACGACAGGGTGCGGGGAGACGCGAAGTCATTTCAGTCCAACCTCGCCAAGAAGCCTGAGGTAAACTCCAAAAACCTATACCGATTCATAGCAAAGAGAAGATCAACAAGCTAAGGAGCATGTGTCATAAAAGGTCTGAACGGAGAAAACCTCTCTGGACAGGAGATCACCGAAATGTTGAGCACCATATCTGACACATAGCTTAACATTCCATCAAGAAAGTACGCATAGCAACTGCGAGAACAGCCCCCAACGTTACCCGACGCTGCGGAGTTGTGCTGTGTTCTCGACAACCTATCACAGCCAAGTGCGGGAATATCCTCAGGGTGCGAAGACATCCACCCATCTGTGTTGAAAGAATGTGCAAGTACCCTAAGTGGCCCACTCTGCAGTCTCTTCCAATACTCCTTGGATGAACAAAAACTCCCGAGAGAGTGTAAACGGGCTATCCTTTCTCCCATCTTCAAAGGAGGAGACAGGCAGAATCCTAACTGTTATAGACCCACAGCACTTCTATCAGTAATATCAAAAGTTATGGAAAATGTGATAGACAACCATATCGGGGAACATCTGGACAAAAAACAAGCACTCAGTGACGCTCAACATGGCTTCCGGAAGGGTAGGTCCTATGCCTCCAACCTACTGACGGCCCGCAATCACTGGACAGCGTGCTGGGGTCTCAAGGTCCTGGTCCATGCAATTTTTCTGGACTTCGTCAAAGCCTTTGACACTGTCTCACACACATTCCTAATACATAACACATCTGGGTTAGGTATACGCGGCAGGTGCTACCGTGGCTGCAGAACTACTTAGACAATAGGGAGTTCTGCACGAAAGTCAACAGGGTCTGCTCAGCTTGGAGAACATCCTCATCCGGTGTCTCACAAGGAGAAATCCTGGGTCCACTGTTGTTCCCACTGTTCGTGAATGACCTCCCGCTACACATCAGCTCTCCGATTCCCCTATACTCTGATGACGTCAAGTTATGGGGGGCAATAACTTGAGAAGCGGAATCGAGTGCATTACAGAACGACTTCAAAACACTAGAGGAATGGGGAACTGATAACGAACTGGCATTTAATCTGGATAAGTGCCGGTCCATGTTTTTTCGCACTCCTGAGCCCTAGAAAACATCCCACTATCTCTGTGTTTCACGTCTATCCCATACCACAATAGAAAAGGACCCGGGTTTAACGGTGATGGAGGAACTGTACACCAGTTCCAACTACGCAGGTGACGCCTCAAAAGCATATGGTGTGCTATACTTTGTGCGTAGACAAGTAGGTGCCCTCACCCCAGAGCCCTTTCTGAAGCTCTATAAGACTTACATACGACCCCACTCGGAGGTCCATAACGTCTTCGCTCCACCACAACTGAAGAGAGGCATGAGCCTACTGGAGAAAGTCCAGAGGCGAGCCACAAAAGGGGTTGTTTGGATGCAACGAAAACCATACGAGGATAAACTGAAAGACCTAGGTTTATGGTCTCTTAGCTACCGAAGGTCACGAGGTGACTTGATAATGGTTTACAAAATACTGAATGACCCAAGTCACCCGAACAGAGGAATACTACCGAGTGGCCACCGTGGAGACCTTCGAGGAAACCCCAAGAGAATAGCTCACCAAAGGTCAAAAACGCATATGCGTTCACAGTTCTTCTCCCTCCCAGGATGTGGGTACTGGAACGCACTACCAGCAGAGTTGGTCTCCTCCCCAGCTATTAAAAGCTTCAAAAAGAGGTTAGACAGTCACGCAGAGACCCATGGTCTACCCATCCATAGCTGGAACATGAACTGATGTCAAGCCACCCGACTATTTTAAATTAGCAACCAGTTTTCTTTCTATTGTAGCCACTTAACCCCTTTTCATCCCTTCGACTTACCATGAGTTAGCCTTACTTACCTAAGTTCTTCATACCTCTGCACCCCTCCTCGCCTTACTTGGGTGTAAGTAGATTACCTCATTAGTTCACTTTTCTTTTCCCCTTTTACTCAACAAATTCACCTTTCTAGGTTTTCTCTTCACTATCCCTAACCGTCCCCAGCGACTAGTTCGAAAGACTGTCTGGCAACTCGACATCTGAAGAAGCCAACTGCACCACAGTCTAAAGCACACAAACCAACACCTAACTTCCTGTTCTGTAAATCAGAGCTACAGCAGACAAGTGGCTGGATCTGCTCCATCGGAATCCACCAAAGACCTGGAACCGTTCCGCATGACCAAGAAGCAGGCAAGAAGGAATCAGCTAGTTTATATAAGCTCATTAGAAACATATTGGATAAAACTAATATTGGATATTGGCCAAGTGAACTTTAAGGCGAACATAAACTACACTATGAATAGCGCTAAGTTAGTAAAACTTTCTATATTATCGTGTATGTATGGGTAGTGTGTGTATGGTGGCTTACACCATCCTGCTTCTTCTTGGTAATTGATTCCTCTAAATAAATATACACTCAAGGCTTCGAAAGATCTCTGCTAGTAGCCGGATCAGCAACAGTGTATTTCAAATTTGTTAATATTACAGTAAAATCATCGGGTGGACATTGCAGTTCACTTTCACACCCAGATTACTGTGATATATACTTCAAACTTTGCGCTAAGAGCTTGAATAGCAGGTGGGTTTAGATATCCCGATATCCTTACAGGCAACAGAGAATGCAATATCTTCGACGTGAGAACACCAAAATCACCGATGAGGGATCAAGACACTTTTGTTTTCAGTGATTCTATAAGCTACATTCCAAACCCTGTATCTGGACTTGTAACACACCTTCCGGTAATATAAAATTGCTTCAACATTGTTGTAGTCTAAGCTGCATATGAAAATCGAGGTCTGGGATTCAGATTATTCCTTTTCGGACTTGGATGACCTTTTGATGACATTCGAGGATAAATCTTACAAATTCACTGTGTATCCATTCGATGCAGCTGGCAGCAGAGGCTCTCATGGTTTATCAGATTTATCATCCTCTAATCACTACAGAATATTTCGAAATATACTTGAGGGAAATATAACCATGTACATTGCGGTTTGGGCAGTTTGTAATCGCAACAGTTATGGTAGTAACTGCAATGTCAGCTGCATTCCGGAAATCGGATTCGCCACTATGGATGCAGTAGTTCAACTGGTGAGAAGATATGTCTTCCTGGTGAGTTCATTTCTGTTGAGAAGTTAGACTGTATAATTGGTTTTGCTAGCCAGCTGGTCATTTCATGGTTTTAGGTTTTTGGAGTGACTTTTTGTTTTGAAGATTTTCCGCACAAAAGATGCAAATACTGTGCAAGAGATCCACTACAACTCATTAGTGTCTTCGGACATCACGTTCGCACACGTGGTACAGTCCACACAAGTTGTTTCGTCAGTTGTTGCTTGATAGCGACATACAGACAACCAAACGATCCTCAGACTTTCATTGTCATACTTTATTTGTCTCAGAGAAGTGGCTGTTTTCAGTGCAACAGCCAAAACTTTACAGGGACAAAATGTTTTGCAACACATTCATCACAATTTGAAAGCCTAATTATCTTTCTTACAGTCCCCATCATGGAGTGCCAAAGCAACCACGAGTGGTTTGCTCAAAACAACTGAACGCTATTCTTAGTGTATGTTTCAAATGTGCTGCCTTGAAGACTCGAGTCTAAACGTGAGCAAGCACTCATTTATAAACTGGGGAACTTCTACTCTTTTCTAAACCAACCAATTTTAAATGACATTCATCTGCAATTCAGAGTTCATATTTGTGATTTTCACATCCACTAGGTATGTGACACCGATGGTCATAGTGTTGTATAATTTTAGTTCCAAATACTGTAGCAAAGAGGAGGTAGAGTTAGATGGGAACAGAAAACTTAACAGCTCTCATGAAGCATGCGCTTAACGAAGGCAGGTGATTTGTGTTTGCTGATATTAAATTTGTTACTACAAAAGACAAAACTAATGTTGATGAGGTGAATTATGGTATGAAGTGTTACGTACTGTTCAGAGTGCTAGTATTAACTTCAATCTTTTCCCATGATGAGAGAGGTGAAAAATGTCTATTGGCTTTAACAGCACTTCATATGAAAGTTGGATATGTTATGTTATTAATTGGTGCTTATCCTATGAACGATAGCTGTCTGGACATAGCATTCTCAACCAGATATAAATGTGTGGATTTTATTATTCTAAGCATATCGTTGTCGAAACATTCAAATATTCTGTGACTTGGTGGAAGCATAAGATGTCCCTTAGCAGCTCACGCACTATAGTTTTCACTTTGTAACTTACGATAAACTTTTAATTTCTCATGCCATAAGTCGACGTGGTTATAAGCAACTGGTGGACATGTGTCAAAAGCACCTTAGTCAACTGTGTGCATGTGAATTTATGCGGTGACTGATTTCAAGTCACATGTTTGCATCCTGAATTCCATCATAAATTGGTTCCGACTTCATACATAAATGCCGAATCTAGCAAGCATCTTCCTCGTTCCTGCATTCATCCCAATAGAAGAAAAGATAGTTGAATCAGCCTTCAGCATCAACTTGACCTACCTACCAATGCTGAATTCATATAAGGTTGTATGATGAGTGGTTCACTATTGTTTATTTCCCTCTTAATAATAAGGGGAACAATCTGTTGGAGCACCCTTGATAATCAGTCACTAGTATCCTTTCATTAAACATAATACACAGATGATGATGGTTTACATTTGTTCGTAACTATGATATCTTCCTACTTAATGTTCACTCTTTAAAGCTACTAACATTTAGCAGAAGTGCTTTTTCAGTTCAAATAACTTTTGAATTTGCTAAGTAATCAAAGGTGACCGAGGAGGAAGTGTTTGAATATTTGACTAGAGAATGAATGGTGGTGTTGCTCGAAAAAATTAATTCAAGAATTTAACACTTCTTCTTAGCAGGGTGTCTTATACCAAAAGACTAGCTTGACTGGGTATTGCGACCCCAAACCAATGACATCTTCACCCATCAAGCGATAAGTTAGGGAGAACTGGTTCATAACCAGAGATCTGCACTCAACCTAAAATTAATCAGTACTTGCCAGTATTGATAAGTACAGGAGATTAGAGCTACTTCTAAACTGTTGTGCAGAACTATATTTGTGAGGGCTCATGCTTAGCCTCATAAAATGCTGCGTGTTTTATATAGTATACTGATGAACAATTCAGTGCTGTTGGTAGCAGACCAGTATAAAAAGCTGCTTGAAAGAATCCATATAGGCCACCTTCATTTTACATGACATACGTTTATGCCCCAACAATCATATATATATATATATATATATATATATACATACTGACGGAATGGTCCGGAAACATCAGTCTACATACATAGAGTACCTAGGTGTCATATGGTTTTCTGGTGGTTCTGGTTACCTTAGCGTATAATCTCGAAGTTGTTTTTTTTACTGTTTGAATACTAGCTCATGTTTCGTCAAAAAGAGCAAAACCATAATATTATGAAATCAAGACGTGTACTTTGCATATCTGGAATCCAAAAACTGAAAGTATACGCTTGTTCAATATCAGCTTCTAAAACAAGCTTATATTCAATAAGTTCATTAATGAGTATTTTTATTTGTACTGAATGAAATGTTTACAGTATTAGTCTGTCTCTACAAAGTGTGCAGATAAGGTGGTGTCGGAAATCAAAACAAGGAGTGAAATGAATAATAACATCCATAAGGTACTTGTGGATACCTGAGACAACCAGGCGTGCAATCCAAACAACTTAACACTGAGCACCTTCAGTTTGCGCCAATTAAAAACCATTTAGTAGGAACATAATGTTCTCGTTACAAACTTTTGAAGTCAAGTCTCACTTGCAAGCACGATAGGCTCAAACATTTTGCTAAAATTCATTGATATTTTCTGATTTAGATTTTTACCTTTTTGTTGAACATGGGTAACACTATGACAAGAAATGCAAGGCAAAAATGTTATTTTCAATTAAATCTTACCAGATTTCACCTAAGTATACATAACTTTCAACATATACGTAAAATACCAACCGATCAAGGTAATTTGTGCGTCAACGATAACAAGGATACGGAGTGTGTAGTACAAAGGATAATACGAACTGTCAACAACCAGGCCGTCGTTGTTACAAATTTCCTGAAGGAAGTTGAGCGTTGAGTCAAGTTTAATCATTATATAAGTAAGTTTTAATATAATCGCAGAGTGTTTACAAAATCGAGAACAAGACTTCTCCCAACGTTTCGGTATGTATGCCACAGCTTATTCAGCAAAATATTCAGATTTTTATTCAACATCAAAATATATACTGTCAAATGGTACATGTAGGAATTTCTATCTTTACGCCATTGGTTAGCTGATTTGTGTTTCAGACTGTTTGTTTCTAACTAGTCATCGTAAATTCATACACTGTTTGTCATTTGCTATCAGAAGCAATCCAGTAATCAAATCGTGTTTGTGTGTATGAGTTTAAATGTTATGAAAAATGCATGTGTCTTTCACTGTTTATTGTAAAAGAATATGAAAACGTGTGTTTATTGATGAACAATAATTGGTCTAGAATGTTTGTTTGCTTTTTAAAAGTTCACTTTGAAGGGGTGACCATTTTAATGTTTTTGCCAAATTAGAGTCTGTCAAATAGGCGACAAATCTATTCCTTCGCTTCTGTTTAAAGCATTTGTTGACGTTAAAATATTCAGGGCATCAGTCTTTGTTTATGTGAATGAAAACCCCTTCCCTAATGTGTCAACATTGTCAAAGTCAGTGATAGAGCATAGTACTGGAAACCCGGTGGTCTCTGGTTCGAATTCGGTCGTGGTTCAAATTTTCATCTCACCTTCAATCATCATCTGATATAAAAATTAGTCTTGTGCCCCCTTTCAATGGCATGCATTGCTATTGCTGATCTTTTTTTCAGACTTTTTAATTGAACTTCATTCTTCTACATAACCTATTTTCATTCGCTCCAATTTTCAGCTGTCTACGACTTTCACCGATTTAACTAGCCTCACAGTCCGTACATTTTTATCTCACACACAGTTGTTTTGTGTTATCACCGGAATCACATCTTTTACGCTGGCTAAGGCTTTCTCCAAAGAATTTCAGGGTTTCAAATATACTCTAATATTATACTTAGCTCAAACTCTTTGCATTTACTCTGAAGTACTTTTTCTATGTGGAATTGCCATTGCTGGTATTCATGATTTCTTTTCAGTCTTACTTGTCTTATCTGTTTACTTCTTGTTATTCCTCTCGAGAATATTGTTCAAAAAACGCTTTGGATAGTCATTTTCTATGAATACTTGTTTTACTTTGAAAATTTAATTTTCTTTATCCTCCGGATTTGTCAAACTATTTTTAGCCCTATTTAGTAAGTTCAAAGCTACTATGGTTTCCATGTTCATTTGGTGGTCGGATTGAAAATTTAGATATTTATTAGAATGAGTAGGTTTCTTGTTAATTCAAATTTTAACTTCCCCTTCAGATGTTATTTGGATACGAGAGTCTAGGAAATTTAAAGTTTAGGTTGGAATTCATCATGGACTGACATCATTTCGAGGAACATTGGAAACCTGGGAGTGCTGGACAGCTGTTTTGTCCTAGTACGAGACTCTAGCACTCATTGGTCACTGGCTTTGAGAGGTGATTCTAGAAGTTCCGATGAGAAGTTGTGACCAGTGGAGTCAACCAAATCGAACATGAAGATAGTTACTCAACGATGACACTGGATGTAGGTCGCGCTATACCGTCATCTGAAAAAAGTAGAAAATATGGACGACTGGATTCCGACCCAGCGGCTCATTGGTAACGTGCTGGCCATGGAACCTGAAGGTTCTGAGTTCAATCCCTGGCTATGCGAGGTAATGATGCACACTGCTGAGGAGTCCCATACTAGGGCGAAACAGCCAACCAGCGCTTCCAGGTTTCCAATGTTTCTCCGACTGATGCCAGTCAGTCTATGGCGAATTCCAACCTAAAACCAATTGATATAACCCGCAAACCTCTAGATTCAATTCACAGTTCCTGTACTCGATTTGGTTTCATTTGTGAATTTCATGAAATTTGATATCGAGTTCAAATGTTGTAAAAACCTTTTATGTTCTGTTTTCTTAATGGTCACAAAGGTATTATCTACATATCTATACCAAAGTTTAGGTTGATAATGAAAATTTTCTAAAGATCTTTCTTCGAATGCTTTCATATATAAACTGACTATAATCGGAGGTGCTGGGGAGCCCATTGAAATGCCATTAGTTTGGTATTATAACGTATCCCTAAACGTAAAATATGTTGGTTCTAAACATAATTTTAAGGATTTCGTAATGTCGGCATGGACATCCACTTAGTAATACTTGATCTTCGTCAAGTAAATGTTTTACAATTTTAAGCGCATCAAGTATGGGAATGCTGGTAAAAGGGAAATTACGTCAAAACTTGCTATAATTTCATTTTCTTTTGTGTTATCCGTCAGTTTACTTTTGAATTCTTCGTAGTTTCTAATGTTTGAAGCAATATATTGAAATGGTTTCAATAATTTTGATAAATATCTTGATAGTCGATATGTTACTGAAGTGGTAAAGTCCACAGTTGTTCTGAGAGGTATGTCCACTTTATTTATTTCTGGTCTACCATAAAATCTTGCTGCTGAATTTATTTTTGGAGCCAACAGAAACCATGTTGCATTTTATCACTTTTGGTTTTAAGTGCCCGAGTAAATTGCATGTTTTGGCTCTCATTTAATTTAATGTACTAGAGGTCTTATTTGTTGGTATTGGTTCATATGGACCTGAGTTCATATGTCCCAATGCTTTTTGTCATAATTTTCTCTATTAAGAGTAACTGTGACATTACCTTTATCGGCTCTAGTTATCATAACTAATTTGTGAGATTTCAAGGCGTTTAAAGCATAAAGTTCTTGCTTTGTTAGAGTGTTCAGAATGATATGATAAAGTAAACAGGTGTTCATACAGACAGATATACAAAGTAGGTCGAAGCTTGGGAGAGGACAATAAGGTTATGTAGTACTGGAGAATGAAGGGAGTGAATAAATAAATGGGTAATATGCACAGCATAAATGACTGCTGACTACAGGTAAATTAAGTAGTGCTGAACCAAATGCCTGACTATTCCATCCAACGTTCAGTCCTCCCGAGTTTCATTCATTGATAAGCTTAATCTGTTGAATAATAATACTACATGTGTTGAAAGTCATAGGTTTTATGAAAATATTTCAGGCTAGAAGAGATATCCATATAGGGTTGACTTCAATGTTCGCTTCTGAAGGAAAAACCTGCATGTTATCTGATAACGTTACTCGAAATAACCAGAATGATAAGAAAGTGTAGATAAAGGTTTATGTACCTAACTGAACAAAATCTATTGTATAGAAAGGTGTCATGGAATTTCAGTAGGAAGAAAACTAGACCTCTGGAAGACTGTTATTGGTCTGAGTCACAAATAGGTCACATAATTGTCATCTCTTCTAAAATTCTGAAACAATTTTTCGATAGTAAAATTATCGTCCTGAGCATAAAACTTCAACCAACTACTCTTCTTCAAGAACTTTTAGTGTGAACACACCTTAACATACATGCTCTTTGGGTTCACGTAATTTACTAATGAAAAGTGAATGAACTACATTCAATAATGAATAAATAAGACATTCCTTAACTCACAAATGTAAACAGATTCAATCTTATCAACTGTGTCCCTTTATTATAAGTAAATTTTTAATGAAAAAATTTTTCCCAATGACAAGTTTTTATTTTGGTGATATTTCGAGCAAAATTACTGCCCATGATCACACCAACAGTTGGAATTTTTAGTAATGTCTATTCACACATTTACCAGTAGGTGTCATTTATCTGTCCCTCTAATTCTGAATTGGCTTCTTGAGCAAATTTTAGTAACATCCAAAAACTAGTGTTACAGAATACCAATGATTGGGATAAAAATTCGGTGAACTCCTACTTCTTAAATACACTTCGAAGACAACGGTAGATTAAAATAGATCTCATGTACAAACTTTTCTTTATGACTTTGCAAAAAGTGCTAAGAAACATTCCACCGTAATAGTATTCATTTCTTTATCGGATTTCGTCCGTGAAAAAATAATTACTGAGGATATTCATAACTAAGTTCTTGATTGTATTCGTACTATAGACAATCAGTATGTCTAGATTGCTATTAATTCTTGGAATTCAGTAACCTGCTAGAATTCTTCCCATTCGTGACGCACATTAGTAACCTCTTCAACTTATACGTGTACTTTCGTAATTGAACAGCCTAGACTTCATTGGTCAGAAGTTATTCATTCTAAAGTGATTTTTCGTATATCTCTAAATGACTTGACCTGTATATTCTTAAACGTTGTTATCCAATTCATAAATAAAGTTCACTTCACTATTACGTGCAAAACATTTGCCTTCATTTTGAATGATCAACAAATTGATTGTAAGTCCACTCATTCTAGTTGAATATATTCGTTTATTCATTGCTTTTTATTAATGAAGGATGGATTGGTCAAGAATGTGATAAAATCGATCACTGTGGTATGGCAGAGTCGTGTGGCCTTATGGGAACTTGTGTTAATTCACCTGCTGGTTATTATTGCACTTGTAAATACAATTTTACAGGTAAGTTATCACTTCTTGAGGGGAATAATGACAGACGTTACATAGAGACAATGATCTGGCTGAGCCAGTTATTTACTTCTCATATTATTTTGGCATCTATTGCATATTTAGTTAACTGGGATTATTAAGCCATAGACGATGACATAAAGCGATTCTAAAAGTTGAAACCATAACATATACTTTTTGATAGCATATCCAGATCGTATCCACTTATATCAATGTGATGTGTAAACGGCAACCTGTTACATTAAATTATGCACTGTCAATAATTGTTATTATTTTTGCGATCACTTGGTTAGGAACTTCGACACAGTCTGAGAAAACTTTCAATGTAGCCGAGATATCCAGAAAAGTAACAACAAGTAATTATGTAGGGTACTAGAATTCTCACCTAGGATTAAGTGTTACGAGTGATGTATGATATTTATGTTTCATCTACGGTATGTTCAAAGTTCAGCTCATTAGCTATGCAACCTTCGTTTGTATCATTGCAGAGGCCAAACGGTTTATGGAGATGCCGATTTAAGGCCTATATTATCTGTAACTGATCATCACTTACTGACTGAAGAATAAATAAATAAAGAAAGACATCAAACTAGTCACTCAGAGCTCACAATCACTCTGTAACATTTTTAACAGTAGACTGCTGCATAGAATTTCATAAGCTGTAAAAATGTGCTGAACTTCATTTTACACATATCTTCCTGACTTCATTATTCCATGCTAACTTATTTGTTGGGTAGTTCATACATTGAGAAGAGATTTTCAATGTGAGTTGTTCTCTGAGCTAAGGCTTTAGTCGACACACGTTTCACTATCATTTCATACACGATCATTAATCCACCAGTGCTTCTCAAGCATTGGTTTGACATGGATATTTATAACCTGTTACTTTTTCTGAGTGTGGTTTGATTAGTCGCCTGGTGAGTGGGTGAGCATATTATTATTATTTGTCCCTTGGGTTCCTAGTGAAACATAGGGATTCAGTAGCACGTCGCCATGTCACTCTGTTGTATGCAGTCTTTTAACATGACTTCACCATTACCCAGAAGCTCTCATTTCTGCCTCACACGATCTCCTCCATGTCACCGTCACCTCGGACACCCAACTAGTCGTTTCCTATTTGGGTTCCACTCGAGGGCCCGGCCTGGTGCGTGATGTTTCCAAACGGTCTTCTCAGTGTATATCCAGTCCACTTCAATTCATCTCCACGTTCTTCTTCTGCATATTTGTTGGGCGATGGGTTGTTGGTTGGTTCGTTGCCAGTCAATCAGAGTTCCTTCTTGCTTATTTTTTCTGGCCGTCTATCTTATTTTCAGTATCTAGGGTATGCAGCTGTTGATGAATGTCTGCGGTTTGTCGGAAGTGCTTTTCGTAACGTACCGAGTATCTCAACCATCACATAGAATCACTGACTGACTTGAATGACATTAGTGTTGAAAATCCGGATCTTGTTTACGCTTTATGTTGAGTGCAGTGGAGTAGATCTCAACACTGATCTCAGATTAATGAAGGAAGGCCTGTCTTTCTTGCTGTTCCGAACCTGGCTTTGACGTTTTTATCTGTGCTGCCCCGCCTTTAGTTGAAACTATGATGCATTGCCTGGGTAGGTGAAAGAGATAACTTCCTTTAGATTTCTCCCGTTGATGGTGATTGGTGCTCGTTGTTGATGTTTTTGTTGGTTGGGTATCTTCATCACCTCTGTCTTCTCTACGTTCACCTGAAGGAAGTTCCGTCTTCGCTGACCTGCCTCTTCCGTCAACTTGTTAGTTTTTGTCTGTAGATCTTTGAGTTTGTGAGACATTGGAAATTAGACATGAATCATCATCGTTGGCGAAATCCAAATCTTCTTGTGCTTTCGCAGATTCCTGGCACTTCTATACTACACCTTCTCATCTCTTTTGCAATCTGGGCAACCCTGCTGGGTTCATATATAGTGCGGACATTCCATGTCCCCATTCTTATTTTCGCTTTCATTGACAGAAGACACATCCCGAAGACTCTGACCAACCGGCGCCATTATGTCTCCCCAGTTTCAGTGAGAAGTAAGTTTATTTTTATTTTTTACATTTTCTTTGTGCTTCAAAGTTTGTTTAGCGATTAGATTGGTTTTACGGGGTAGGTCTGCTAGCCCTATGCCCAACCTTTCCTCTTTACTCGGGCTTAGGAGCGGCTAGTAACTAGTGAACTAGTTAACCAGGCAAGGTGAATATATGCTGAACCAGAATGACTGATTTTTTGCCTCTAATTTTTTGTTAGAGATGTGTACAATTATGTGATAGTTTGAATCCTTTTGTTTGCTTGCAACAGAGCTACTTCAAGAAGAAACAACACGCAGAAAACTAGAATTCAATCCAATCAAATTGGTGGGAAATAAAATAAGGAGTAAGTTGGACAACTTTTCCAAAGAAGGACAAACCAACAAAGTAGATAAGTGCAGAATGAGATTGAACGGACTGATGCTTTCAAGACTTTATGGAAGATAGAAAATCTATAAACCAGATGTATGTCTAACCAACTGTTTCACTTCCAGGAATGCTAACGCACAATCTAACAATGTATCTGGCAGAAAATCTGAGTCGATTTATCAATAAATCGAGCAATTCACTTAGCTCAGCAGCTCAGTTCCTTAACGAAATCCGAGATATCGAAATATGTGAAAGCGAAACATTGACCTCCTTCAATATTAAGACTATTTTTATATCTATGAATCACAAGCTTGTAAGAGAACTATCCTTAGCATGCTTCAACATGATAAGCATCTACAAGCTGACACCGGTATCAAAATACCAGAAATAATTCATTTGATAGAAGTTTTTCTAATCTCCATACTTCCAGTTGAATGGAGAGATATATGAACCCAAGAAAGGAACTCTAATGGGACCACTAATTTCTGATATCACTGCATAAGCAGTCATGTAACGACTGTCAACCATCAAACCAAAATTAAGGGTGCTATACGTGGACGACGCATTTATCATCTTTCCTAATGAAAATATTAAATCTGTCCACAAACGAATCAATAATGTTTTCTAAAGGACTGAATTCATGAAATAAGAGGGAAGCAACGGACAACTGGTATTCTTAGATATCTTAATTACGAAAGATGATGATGAACACCTCGAAATTCAAGTGTGTAAGAAAACAACTCATTCGAGCAGCAATCCAATGTCGCACAAGAAAAGCTACGTAACAACGCTATTTAGAGGGGCAGACATGCTTTGCAGTATACTGGGATCAAAGGGAGTTTATAAGAAATGTTTGTTCGAAGTCTTCCAACTCAACAGCTGTCTAAGGAATTTCATCAAGAGGTGTCTTTCTAAACTAGGAAAAATTAAAGCCGAATACAAAAATTAATAGAAGAATCGTCGACTTATACGTTGAGAATATATGGGAAACCACAACCATATTGCTGCATCCACTTAGAGTCGTAGTGTCACACAAACTAACAAAATCACTACAACATATCCTACGCAAATCAAGAGACCCAGTCAACAAAGAAGTGACCAGCGTTATCTACAAACTTAATAACAATAATTGCGAACACCGTTATATGGGACAGCTAAGAAGACATACATCACAATGCCTGCGTGAACAAAAGTAGGCTGTCAAACGTCATGATATGAATTCTCTTATCTGAATATAATATAACAACCATAAGCACGCATTTGAATATGACAACTTCAAAGTACTCAAAAGCAACCCAACAGTTCATTGAGGCAAGGTTATCAATTAAATTTGTAACAAATTTCCACATTGATCTGGATGCAATAAACAAGCTTATTCAAAACAAATTAACCGGAGGAATCAATCAATTCAAACTCTAGGATACCCTCAGCACAAAAAAAGAGGATCGGCAATCACTTACGTCAATATAACTCAACAAACTCCTATACTTAAGTATATAATACTAAAGTGTCCCTCTTGAATCAAATCCGACCAACCAGCAGTAGAAAAGAACACCAATCCAGCTGAAACAAATCAACAAATCAGCGTAAAGCAGCCCCTCTTCAGCATAAATGGGGCATTTAATCACATTAAGGCAACTTTCATCACTTCAGTCCACCAACCGGAACAAGGTAATCTTCATCAGTTCATTCAAACAAAAAGGGTGAACTAACTACAACGAAATAACTTCAGTGTATTGCGAGTAAACGAAAGAAACCAAACTATCACATAGTTGTACATATCTCTAACAAAAAACTAGAGGTAGAAAATTAGCCATTCTGGTTCAGCATATGTTGACCCACTCACCAAGCGACTGATCAAACCACACTCAGACAAAGTAACAGGTTATAAATATCCATGTCAAACCAATGCTTGAGAAGCACTGGTGGATTAATGATCGTGTATGAAATGATAGTGAAACGTGTGTCGACTAAAGCCTTAGCTCAGAGAACAACTCACTCTAGACATTTACATACTAAGCTTCAAATATTCTCAGCAATTTGTGAGTGTTACTCACTGGATGGTGTTTCGAAGAGAATTTGTTAATCATATTCATCTTAAACGAAACTGAATGGGGTGCGATACGAACATGAACAATAAATTCTGTTTGAAAGGTCATCCATCCATGTCATCTGTCACTGTTTGGAATATCTAACAAACAAATTGTCATAGAACTATACAATACCAGGCTGCCCAAGTTCTACTCCTATTACATTTTATTTCATTGCTTACTATCTTCGTATATTATCAATCTATTGGTACTTGGCTTCATTCCGGCCACTCCATTTTAAACTCCAATAACTGATAATAATTCACTTCAAACAAAAAGCTACATTCTGCAACAACGATTGATTGTCCAAGCGACGCTTTATTGATAGCCACTTTAATTTCCAACCTCTTGACAACATGCATAATTTAGAAACCATAATTGGCAAGCATTTTCTAGTCAATATAATCCTTGCCGAGTTTGAACTGTGAACTCCTCGGATAGCAACATTTCGGTGTATCTCCACAGTACCACTCCACTTTAAGTGGGATCTATGATAATTCTCATCGTCTGTTTCTAAAAATGACAATACTTGTCATCTGATATTTCTCAAGTCACTAAAATCCAGTTATCTGTCTAGTTAAAGACTTCATGAATGAGATGAATACGGTGTTCACTGGTCGTCATTAAGTTTGGCTGGTGAGTAAACTATGAACAGTTTTCTTATGTGGAAATGAAAATTCCATATCCACAGACAACTTCCCCATGGCGAGGTGGACACCTTAAGTAGGCGAACTGGAGATCGATTGATTGATTGGAGCAAACAAACAGTGATTTCTTGAAGTCGAAAATGTTTCTTCAAGTTATCTTCGATCTGTAAACTGCAAAAACTGAGTTGAATCTCCATGATATAAATTTTTCAAGCCACTCACTCGGTATGCGTTGTATCATAGTGGTACAACAAGCTGTATACTGCATCCTCCTCGAAAAGGAAGGAGAAGTTAGTTGTAATCTGGAAGAGCCTCCGAAATGTGATATTTTCAACAGTCAGAAAACATTGTTGGTCATTGTTTTATCTCGTGAAAAGTATATACACACCAACATTCTTTTTCTTTACCCCTGAAACTATGTGGCTTATGAAAGATATTTGGCAGTATATATTTTCAATCCAAAATGCCATTTAAGTAAACCAATAAAATGTGTTACAGTAGTAAAATTGCTGAAGGAAGTTGAGGATGTGCTGGTTTTCCCTGAAGTTACAGCTTTAAACCTGAATGCAGCTAATCCAGACTTTTTTATTCCGTACCATGAAAATATTGAAGTTAACAGACCTAACGTGAGCTATTTCAGATATCAGATAGGTGTGTTCTTTCTAAGAAGAACAAATGTTCAGATCAAAATCATGATAATCGCTTGATGTATCTAGTAGCTAAATTTACCAGTCGATACCATACAGGGATTTGACTAGTGTGCATTCATCAGCCTGCACCTCATTCAACCTATGATGTGTAAATCACACACAACCATCTAGTCTTTGACTGTTTCATCTATGGTAAACTGTAAATACCACAACGAGTACTTCATTTTCCCAATGTTTCTGTGTTCAGATAACCACAAGCTGCTATAGGGGAACTGGTTTAGATCTTACTCTTGAGTCACTGTTAATATATACCTTGAGACACTTTAAAACTAATTAGCTACAGTATTCAGGCAGCTGATACTAGTGGGTTAGTTGCCTTTGCAGTCAATCAGACCATTAATTTTGAACATATCACTGTCATGTATCTATTTCCCATCCATGTCTTCAAATCGCTCCTTCATTACAGCTTGAAACTTGTATCTCCAAGTAGTTTTATCTAGCTCATTTGAAAAGGACAGCTAAATCAGTCCACATGTGCTTGGGATCATCCTGACAACAACAATAACAGTCAACTGCCTTGTGGGCATATGATTAACAAAATACTCTTATTCATCACTGAGAACCTCTCATTTCATTGATATCATCCTTAGTATGAATCATATTTGCAAACATATCATGCTTGCTAAGCAGTTAGTCAGATATTGTGACCAGTATTTCCTGCATTGCTTTTATTCCCTTTTTCAAGGGGTCGATTGTTCAGAACCTCCAAACCAATGTACTCCATTTCAAGATTTCTGTCAGAATGGGTTTTGTCTGTTGAAATACTTTGATGAGGAGAAGAGAATGTTGTCTGAACCAATTCCATATTGCGCTTGCTTGCCTGGGTTTACTGGAAAATGGTAACTAAATTACAAGATGAAAGGATTTGAATGTGAATGCTATTTTATTTTATTATTTATCACAGATAAGTTTAAATATTAAATAGCTGTAACTTACTAAGGTGGCATTGATGTCAACTGACTGAACCTGCATAGTGTTCAGTAGCTTAACCTGAAATCAGACAACATTTTGAAAATTTTCTTACTATATTTTGCCGATGTCGACATTGTGACCACTATGAATTGGATTACTGGCTGTAACATGAATGTAGCTGGTGGACGAACAACTCTGCAAATTCACTAGTAAGTATCAATTGACACCAGTGGTAGTCAAGCTGAAATCATTGTGAGCAATTTAGATGATGTTGCTACTATCCTGGAAGTATTTTGGTAGAAATATCAACCATCCAAAACACTGTTGTTTGACGTGGCATACACTGAATATGATCAGTGGAACCAATCTTCCACTATCCTAGTTAAAATACACAAGCTGTCACTGACAGCCAATGCCTTATTGAAATTGTCAGGTAAAGAACAAATGAGATAGGCAGAGTACATTGAAATGGTTTGAAAGAAATTTTCAGATGATGCCAGTTTCACACTAATGAAACGTCTAACATTGATAGAATTCCTATCACCTTTCCAAAGAACACCAAAAATATGTACTTACCTACTCTGGTAAATCATAGTCTTTCACTAAAACCCAAGTAACGCCTTGTGGTTCAGAATCTCCTGGTGTTTCACCACATGTCAATGAAACTGATAGGAAAATTTAGCTTGGATATTTGATCACGAAGATGGGAGATTTCTTCTTAGTTTCATAGTGCAATTCTGAAGAGATCACACCAGCTGCTAGGAAACGCTGTCACAAGTACACAGTTATGAATTCGAATGTCAGATATTTAATGTCAAATAAACACAGGAGACAGTCTTTTGATATATTTAGAAATGAAGACGTCTTAATAAGGCTGCTAGTGGAGCTCTTGTGAACCGTTTACATCGTAACTAATATACCATCCATGACGTCAGATCAAGAAGAAGCTGGAGAAGAAACTAGCGAGAATAATACAACTCAGCAGAAGCGTAATCAAAACTTGGTGGAGCTAATGAGCAAGTAGATAATTAGATCTGAGTTATCAAAACACCTAAAGCCATCCAATTTCACTATACTTCACCTGCATATGATCTCCTAAGAAGTATATAAGAAGGTTTTCTCGCTAGATACAAATTTTGAAATGAATAAGTTACCCTACCATGCTACTGTGAAATGACACGCTGAGATGCTTAAACTAGATGGAAAGCAACCTTAATCAGCACTGTGCCATTTTCATTCACCATCTTCAGCTCACTTCATGCCGCCATTGTTCCACGTGAGCAGAGGATAGCGATAGCTGGATCGTGACAATCCAATTACACTTTTCTAAATAATATTTGTTCACTAACACATTTCCCAGCTTCTTCAGACAAAATGTTGAGATATTTGAGTGTCTTAAATAGGCTTTAGAATTCTGATTTTGATGTCTCTATGGTGACATCTAGAGGTGGAACTTTCATAGCATAAATAAGACCTAAACAAGAAAAGTCACTGACAGTGAGGCATAGAAAACAGTAATCAGAAACGCTGACTTCAATTTATTAGCTTGAGTGGAGGTGAACTCTTGTCACATTTCATTATTTTGGCACTTGTATTTCCAAATAAATCTGAAACAAGCAAATCCGTTTTGAGTGAGGGTTTGTTACTTCCTGACAATAGTAATATGCATAGGACAAGTTCCATGTGAGACCGAAGCCAGTAAAAGTGAATAGCTGAGGGCTTTCACCCGACACCCTAGAAAGCTGTTAGAGATGAAAAAGTTTGAAGGCACCTCAGCGGTCACTCTACACGCTGTATTTTCAGGCTACAACTTTAACTTCGACAGTTTCAGAGTTATTCAGAAAGGCTTTGTGAATCATAGAAGAGTCTCTGCATAAAGTGGATTAGGATTGTGTAAATAGTGATGGTAGAATGAAACGTAACTTGACTCGGTTTCAACCCACCCCCAAGTGCCCATCGCGCTAACAAAACATTTCGTCTTGGTCAGGCTTGTTGTTCAGTTTCTTCCGAATAGGACTGTAATTAGATGGAAGCAGCAACCAACAATGATTTATTTAAGTGCACTAACTAGTTGAGGAAAACATTTTGGTGATTATTTCTCTTGCTTTTAAATCTCCCACCTCGAAATAATCAACTGATGTTTCAGTGAAACCTTTAGTTCCCAAAATATCATGAGTAGTTCAGATTTTATCCACAATTTGAGTTCCTTCTCTTCATTACGACACAATTCTGCAGTGAGGTGTTAGCTGCCTTTTGAAAGCTGTTCACGAAAAGATGGTACAAAAAAATTGTTGGAAACTGTCGAACACCATGCATGACGCCATAACATATGTAAAAATATACTTGACTTTCAAATCAGTTTAGAGAACATATCATTCTGAAAGTCTCACTTATTCTTACAAGTAGAGCGTTTTAGATGAACTTGTGTAGCGGTATTTCCTATTGGGTTACATATACAATCATCCGCATTCAAAAGCATTAGCTGTCTGATCCTAGTGAGTTGAATGTGATTACATTTAGAGTGATCTTATCCTGAGATTTTCACAGCTACAATAAACTTTGACCTTGACTACTGACCTACTCGTGGAAAAAGTTTTATGATGACAGAGAGTGTTAAATTTATCGATTTAATCTCGAAATTCAGTTACCGATTGTCAGTGATGCTAGGGACTCAGACTACAGAGAATTCCTGAATATAGATTAAATGACTGCCTACTTCTTGTCTGCTTTCAGTGATTTATCAAATGTCAGGAGCTGAATGGGGCTTTCTGGCGAGTAGACTTGGTTGACAATATACATGGCATTCTACTAAAACATCCTCTCATTTTGTTTTCCTAAAATCATGTGATTGTTAGTTACATGTGATTTTTGTTCCTAGGTGTGAATTGGATATAGATGAGTGTGAATATCGAGAGAAATCACAACTTCCAAGGAGAATTATGTTGAAGCTTCACCCACCTGTAATTTAAATTCATTGTGTGAAAATCTATATGGGAACTTCCAATGTTTTTGTAAAAATGGTTGGACTGGTGTGCATTGTAATACACCACCAGCTACATGGCCTGATGATTATCAACCAGTAATACGTTCGAAAGGTCTACCTAATTTCATACCATTGACAAAGAAGAATTTTACAAGCATTCCACAAAAGCGTCACTCTGAAACATTGGTAAGGAAAACAGGATTTTTGGAAAGTTAAAATTTTCTGCCCTCTCCTTGGTCTGCAGACGATCAAATCGATGAAAATACTCCAGTTTACTTTCTGATTGGCCTACTTCTGATTTGATAAAGGATCTTTGATCTTTGACTTGAGCTTCTGCATTTGGTATTGAAGATTTTGAGAATGCTCATTTCATCAAAGATTATTAGGTTCAGGTTGGTCAGACCGAGATGTGACATCAGTATGTCAAAACTGTTGACCTGAGGCATGTACAGAGGCGTAGACAAGCTTTCTGGGGTCTCTGAGACGACAGGAATGAAAAGTTGGTGAATCTAGGTCAAATGACTGTGAACCATTAAGAATAACGCAAATATATTTACTTCTCAATGTTTTCCATAGCTTCGGTGCTCTGTATGATAATGACCTCTGAAAATCTCTGGTCACTGCATAAGAGACCTTCAACAGAATTTAGACCGAATCTTTCAAAAACATCTCTCTCTCAATCTATCCCCTGAAGTTCTTTTATTTCATTTAAAGGATGCTTTTCATCCTGCCAGATGAAATAATGAACGAAGTCTTGATGCAACAGGAGAACAGTAATTCAACTTGACGGATTTCCAGATTTGATGAATTTTATAGCTTGGTTCTACTCACAGGATATCACGTCAAAAGCTGTTTTGACAAATAATATTTCAACATGTAGGTCGACTCCAGTAGTTGACATTTCGACATCTTTATTAGATCAAATTCAGTCCACTTGGTTCCCTCAGAAGATAACAGTATCCATTCACAGTTAAAATTAAGAAGCTCCCTTCCTATTTACCAGTTTTGTTCGTATTGAACAAGTTTTATGTACAACTTAATATCTTGAGATAACCTACCAACTATTTATGACACAATCCATTCATCGTTTATCCTAAACATTACAAGTCTCCACTTAGTGATCTGGCAAAATGCGAAAATCTCAACCGAAATAAACAAGCTATGAAGGTGTTCAACATGTACCGATTTGCATACATTGGAGGCTACCAACCATGGTAACGACAAATTGTCTGCAATTTCATTAATTCAGATGCACACTCACATTATTACATTCTGTTTTGTCATGGAGGTGACAGAGATGGAGAATACAGAACATCAGGTCATGATTTGTCGCTCACTCATTGTTTCGTAGCAGAGGTCAGATATCCGGACTATTCAGTCGAAAAGTGTTTAAATATATGATTGTGGATGTGTTAACATGGGGAAGACCTCACGTAGACTAGATTAGATTGTGGAAGTATTCCATGAAGTTTCCGAATTCCAGTCTTTTCTGTGCACTGAAAATCTGAATGAGAGAGATGAGAAATGCATGAGTTGTAGCATACTCATCTAACTTTCATTTCCTTATGGTTATCTACAAAATCGGTGAGTATTTTGTACAGAATTTCGATCTTTCTCAAAGTCAGCCAATTGAACTTCACCATGTTGTTTTGATCAATCAATGTGATTTATCTGTTGACAGTGGAGGACGTCGGATTCAGTTACTCAGACATAGTATTGGCAAGATGATGTCTACTATTGGCTTTTAAATGAAATCGCCCATCTGCAACTTGGATCTCTGTAAAGAGTAATTTCTCATCCCTGTGTCTTTAAGGTTCTTCTTGTTGTTGTTATAATCATTCAGATCTTGACGAAGGCAAATCAAGATGGAATTCCAAGTTTGTCGATCCAGCTATTTACCATATTCATTCCTTAAATAAAAACTTTAGAAGTATGGGATAAACTGTCAACAACAGTTACCTACAGCTTATTGATAAACATAAAATGTATCAGAGATTGTAAGATTCATTTTCTTTAAATAATGTCTAAAGAATACCTCATTATCAACACTGTTGTCTCACTTTCCATGTAACACATCTTTAATATTTTTCCCAACTTTATCCTAGATAATAGAGAAGTCGAATAACAACTGGGTTTTTATACTTCTCAGTTTGTTATTTGGACTATGTACTGTTTTCTGTGGAATAATATATTTTGTCTATCGTCAACGTCAACGTCTATTCAGTGCATACAACTTCGCTGGAGTCGTCAACCCATCATGTAAGTTCACGTTAGTCTGAACTGCTAGGAAAACCTTTTAACAGTTGACATTTAAGTATATACTGTATGGATAACTCACAAAAGATGAATTACTTTTGACTTTTTATTAACGTAATTCATCAAACTTCACAAAATTGTGTGAAGAGATTCGTAAAGTTATTTACCAGTTCAGCTATATGCCACTGAAAGAGGTTGTGAGCAGATACTTAAATAAACAAACTAAAATACCATTTTAGTCTGCTTATTAGAAATATCACACAGTGAAAAAGTAGCATTTACTGGATAACATTCCGGACATAATTTATTGTCCACATTCATATCAGGTTAGTGGAAGATGACCAGATAGAAAGAGTACTGCCCAACCAGGAATCTGAGTACTCAAAAGAATACGACAGTGATGTTCACTGTGACTTCATTTTGAGGAGTATCGAAAATGCAATGGAAAAGTTGTCAGTAGCTGATAACTGGTGCATGAAAATTCTCAGTAGTTACTAGGTGTGTCTGGGATTGTACGGGTGCATAGTTTATTCCTTCGGGTCCTATGATCTATGAGCAGAAATAGCTGTTACCAGTAACAGCTAACGACAATGTGCAAGACATTAAAACCGATAATAGATGTCATGCATTTAGGAATTTTACAGTATGTAACCTGAGAAGAATCATAGGTATACTGAATGTATACTGAGTGCATCACTGAGTAAAATTTACAAGCATCATTAGCTGAAGTGCTTGAGGAATGCGTATTTGACAATTAAGTGTAGTACACTCGGATACACGATGTTGTCTTCTGTGATATTGTCAAAACAAACAAATTGTTAGACAGATTTTTACCGAAGAAATCTTGGTTTGTTCACCTTTTACAAGACAATAGGCTTTCACGTCTAAGCATAAAAATAATTGGGAGCCAATGCTTTCAATACTCTATGAAAACGGTATGATGTTAAATATCACGAGTAGAACTGTCTTCACTCTGTATGCTGCAAACAGATAGACAAGCAAACCAACGTTAAGCTTACTACTGAAGGCCATGAGTTTCAGTTAGCACACTTAACAGCAGCATGCATGTCACCTTAAATCTGATCTGTGTCGCCTATTTTCTATCAGGATCTTCTCATATGCATCAGTAGTCAAGAATACAAGGAGTGTGTACGATTGTATCTCCTCAACTAATGAAAGGTAATTAAACTGAGAGGTGTAAGAGAAGCAGTGCTGCCCTCCCTTCACCCTTTGCTTGAAGACAGTAGTCTTATGAGACAGGGCTTCAAATCAGAAATATCAAAATTAAATGTAAGCTATCACATTGAGAAGCATGTTGCTGCATGGAGTGTCCAAGTTCAAGTGACTGATATCTGTGTATTTTATCCTATGCAGTCTTCTCAGAACGTGACTTGAACTTTCCCTGAAGTCTGAAATGAAATATTCTGCTGAAGGATGAGAATTCTCGCACAAGTCATCAAGTGTAAGGCTATTTATAAGAATACCTATTGCCCATACCTAAGCTGGTTTCTCCTGTCGATGATTAGGAATCGGTCAATAAGTCTTGAAAGTATTCGATATCGTTGAATCCATACATATATATGCTGGATATTACATCGACAATATATGGATTAGACTCGTACATAACTCTAGAATATCAGTCTCCGTGTTGTATAGCTCCAAGTACTGAACAAATATCTACAAACGGGAATAGTCCGATGACAATACTGTTGACTAGTGTCTAAAATATTTGTAAACATTTTTAGAGTGTAATATTAACTAATCAATCTAACGATTGACAAAAACATTTTCGAGACTGTCACATTTTTACATAAATAAATTATATGATTGAATATTTGTTCACCATATTTACAGCCTATTCGATTTCATACAACATCTATTAATTGTTTATTAGTGTGCAGGTGAATTTCACTCATGTAAAAAATATGAACACACCCGCAATCAAGTAATAGAGAGTGGCTGCATCGTAATATTTTGTAAAATAGGTGAATGTACAGAAAGGTGAGATTTAACATGTAGGACTCATCGAAATTCATGGTGTCTGGTTAAATAGATTGACAGTCGGAACTTTATATTTCTTGCTATGCATGTGTATATGATTAAGAGTTGAACTATCTGGGATAGCCGTTGTTTGACAGACTTGTATTATTCCTACTGAGTGATGACTGTAGGTGAATTGGAAATGTGGGTAGTTGGAGGATTCAGACTAGCAGCCTCCAAGTTACCAGTCTGGTGCTGGCATAAACTACTATGTCAATAGTGTGAACCATTTTCAGATCTGAAGTTTAACTAATGGCTGCACTCATTTCATCGGGTGTTTTCTGCTTACTAAATCACAAAACAACTTTACACACACACACACACACACAATGAAAAAGCAAAAGCATTGGGTTTTCACGATATGTGTGAATTTGCTGTTTGTAGTTTCAGTGATGTGCTTTTTTCTTTCGAAATGTTATTATCCCGTCGCTTTGCAACATTATTCACTGAGTTGTTCATGAGGTGTGGTGCACTGAGTAACATTCCCCCACAGTGTAGCGTTAGATGCCTTTTCTCTATGTTAAAATCAGTCTACAGTGAAATCTTATACTCGTCGTATTCTTCTCAGTTGTCTACAATCATTTATTACCCGGTTAATTTCACAAATCAAGAGTGTTGATAAAAGAATGGCTGGTGAACGTTGTCATATGAATTATGCCTGATACTTTAAGTATTTTATCAACATGTAAGGAATTCTTATTGCGTATGTGAAATGTAAGCGCCTGGTGATATTCATCCATATAAATGGCATTGTGGAGAAATTTACATATTCAGAATACATGGAGGATCTGAGTGAAATTTTTTTATGCAATATAAAATATCGAAGTAATTCAACATTGACTTCTAATGTTTATCTTGTCCGATTTTATTCTGTTGCATCACTGACTATGTCAACTGTAGCTGATTAACTGATATTTGACGTTCTTCATTCCTCTGTCTATCTGCCCTTCATCATAGTTAATGAGTGTATAGAAGAATCTGCAGTAATCTGGTAGTCGAATACAATGATATGCGTGTTTTCCTACAATTCGAAATCCATCAGTTCAACTTACTCGCTCTCGTACCAATGTTTCTTCTCATACTTGAATCCAACACAAACGAGGTTGTAACAAGCCACTGAGTCCAACACAGTTTTGCTGACATTCTCTTGCCATATCAGATCTAAAATGAAGTTATTTGACTGTATCATCTTATTGGGGAGAAATATATATAAATTTGGTTACTCATCCTGTTTCTAGACAGCGTCAAACTTGACTAATGAAATCATAGCCTTCCTTTGGCTACTGCACGGAAATCTGGAAGGTGAAATGAGTTCATTGAATGCGATAACTGACACTTCACCAATGTGAATTACAAATCTTCCTCCCACTAAGATTTGGAAGCCGATGTGAGCAGGCTGTTTGTAAAACTCAGATTAAGCGAAATTTTAGTGAGACCTGTTTCTCTTGTCACGCAATCTAATTCCAGTGAGCAATAGAATTCATGACTTTCACATTCGCCCACTAGTATTGGATAACCTGAGTCCATGCAACTTCACTCAAGCATCTACACTGGTTCATCTGTCAGTCCATTGTGTTGTGCATGTACTGTACCTATGAAAGCACCAGTGCGTTGTTAACCTTCATAGAATATTCGGAAAGCGTTAAAATATTGAAAGTGAACATTTCATTTCTCACCTACATACACTGACCTACCACTTTTGATTTGATAGGCAACTGTAATTGTGACTGTCTAGAGAATAAAAAGAATACTTAGAAATCATCTGTCATATAACTAACTTTATTCTATGTCGTACAAAATTGATCGTTTACCATTGAACTTAACTTCTATTGAATGCATGAATATTTTACCGATCCTTAGTTCACAGGTGCTATATGACCAAAACCCTGTAAACGCGACTACTTACACAAAATCCAGCCTTTCTCGTTTTCAACCACTGCCAACACCTCAACGATCTCCTGCAGCGAAACCTCATTCCTTTCCAAGAAGTCGAACACTAAAGACTGAAAAATGCCAGTCAACAGTCTATGATGAAATTCCTGAATACTTTTTACAGGGCAGACTTCATCTTGCTGAGAATGTGTTGTTAAGAAAATCTCAAGGTTCTGTTTATGATCCGTATAGTCAGTTAGAATATGACACACTGGAAACAGCACTGGGGGGTGAATGTCAAGTAGACCAAGAAAATCATAATCATGGTAAAAATCATGACGACGCAGATATAGAGGGTCGACTATTCGAAACATCGGGTGAAGAGCAGCTGTCCACCTTACAGATACCTGGAAATTTCTTCCAACAATCAGAAGTATTTGGAGCAGGATGTACATACCTTGAGCCGAAATATAATTTGCGAATATAAAACGAGTACTAACTCATTCCTAGTCACCTTCACACTCAATAATGATCTCACACTGTCATTATTTAAGCCTTTAAATTAACGTTTGTTTACTAATCTTTTAATTATCATTTTGTATCAGAACAGATCCTTTTCAACTAATATCCTTTGCTTATGCTAAATCAAGATCATGTAGTGATTTTCATTTCTGTTTACTGCTTGTCTTTATCAGATCTTGTCTATTACTTCAAGTGATTTGCATAGTCTTCATGCTTATTTCTCGAATGTGTGACTTCATTCCTCCATCTTATTTAACAATAGATTACTTCATGCAATGAAAATATGTCTATAGTTATTTCCTAGAGGTTTTTACTCACGGGTGATTCTGAATTATTGAGTTAAGTCATTTATCTATAAGAAATTTCATTGCATTTAGTGAGAAAATGATGAAGCACAAGAGAAACTTTCCCCTGTGTTCACTTGATGAACCTATGTCGCGTTCTGATTGATGTCGGTCTCCTAAGTAGGCGAATACACGGCTAGTGCATGACATCAAAGCCAGGATAGATGCCTAATTCGGCCATCCATACTGATTGACACTATATCTAGTTGTGTTGTGTTTGCTGATGCCTTGAAACCCAAATGAATATTCTCCTTCACTAGGTTAAATGTCTTCGTGGATTTTCGGCTACTGTCGGTGTCATCATTTGACTAATTGTTGTCACATACAAATGATCATTACTTCTCACCTACTCAATGTAGCCATTCACAAGTCGAATTCATTCATTTCAGTTCATAAATGAAGTGATGTGAAAACTGGATTTCAAGCAGCTAATCATTGCCAACATGGACAATACAAGTTTCGTGTTCAGAGCTTGAGTGCATGATAAAGTTTCGTCTCTCAACACAAATTCTTCAGTTACTATTCGACCGTTTATGATAAGTAGAGATTTCCGACTAAATCACACTGCGTAGTCGTATGCTTATGGTGATCAGAGCAGTGGAATACAAGTGAAATTCAGAAGCCTATTAGACAGGTTGAGAAATGTGATTTCATGATGTTGCATGTCATGCAGTAGAATTCTATACTGTCACTCAGGATTCAACTTCAGAGACTGTAAGCAAAATGTATCTGATTTCCTCTTTAGGAAGGCATAGTGCTTTCAGTTGACATATCGGATAGTGAGAACAAACTTTATTCTGACTAAAAGAAGAAAGTGCAGAAGAATACGAAGGAACCTGTAGCTGTGTCGTATCAGCTACACTGGGAAAGCTAATAATTCACCCGTGAGTACACTAATAGGCGCTTCTGCGATCTACTTTTAAATGCAGACATCCACTGAAACTTTGAATCAGATGAAAACACAAACAGTGTGAAATAAAACTTTGTTGGCAAAACGTTGACAGTTACAACCAATTTGATATGGTAATCCCTCAAATGTTAAATAATCTCGAATCAATAATGTTGCATCAACGCAAAGAACAGCTAAGGTATTGATTAGGTTCTGTTTTAATAAATGTTGTCTTTGACGAGGGTGAAAAAACATTAGATATAGAATTGTGTTTATGTAAATCACAGCGGGTTTCAAATCAAATAATTCCATCTTTTCGCACGGAAGTCTGGTCTGAGCTTCTTCAGGGAAATAATCAAAATTAAAATATCAAGGAAATATAGATGAATTCAAAAAACCGTGTATTTAATCTCCTCGTCCAGTCCTCTTCGTAAAGTCATTGTCTTTCTAAATTATGATAACTAATCGTGTAGTGTGAACTTGTATGTCTTTTTTGTATGGCGTATGTACGTGCAAAGGGCGAAAAGGTGGGTGAAAAAGCTTGAGGAAAATAGATTATTATGCTTAATAGGCTTCGATGATCAGAATACTTTAAAAGTTTAATAAGCCACACTTCAAGTAGCAACAAGGAGTATCTATCGAAGTTGTAGTTGCATGTCTGGTGAACAAATTACTGCAAACGTTTCATCCCGTCTAAATATGTGAATGCACGCTACATTCGTTGAAAGATTGAATCAAGTTAACTTAGTACGTGAAAATAAACAGGGTGACATTCGCAACTATGCCCGTTGTTGTGTTGCTGGAAACTTCATAATCACTCTTTATGCGTAGATGATCAATTCATCTGTTTGATTCTTACAAACGTGACACTGAGTTATTAGTAATGAAGTCTTCGAACCAATGACTCTTCAGTTATGGTGCAGACTCCAAGATCTGTAGGTATAAACCCTTGAAAAATCACAAGGCATAGAAGTGGCAGTACGCTGGTGCTCACGCACGATTTCACATTTCGAAGATCAGCATGATTTTGACTAACATTGTTTGCCAACAAGTAGTTTGAGTGAAATTTCACTTCTTACTGACTGGTCGTTACTGCTTAGAATCTGGAACGGAAATATTTCACACTTGCATCATTGTTCTGACCAGGAATGAAATGTCACTAGATTTCAGGTACCCGTAATATTTCTAGTTGTCAATGTCAAATGTTAATTCAGAAAACATGCATAGTATCGGATGACACAATGAAAGGTCAACCTACACATAATCGTATGAGAAACACATTATAAAACAACACTACAACTTCACAGGTTAGCGGTTATTGTCAAACAGTTTCAACTTCTACTACCCTGTATTAGTAGAACATGAGACTGGATAACCTCATTTATGAGTGTGATACCGAATTATTATTTTTATGTTATTATTAGTCCCTTGGGTTCCTAATGGAACACAGGGCTTCAGTGGCACGTCTCCAGTGAACTCTGTTCTCTGAAATCTTTTCAACCTGGCTCCACGGCAGCCCACAAGTTCTCATTTCCTCCTTACACGATCTCCTACATGTCACCCTCGCACGTCCAACTCGTCGCTTCCCATCGAGGTTCCACTCAATATCCTGGCATGGCGCGTGTTGTCCCCAGTCGGCCTTCTCAGTGTATGCCCAATCCATCTCCACTTCCTTCCAATGCATATTTGTTGGGTGATAGCTTCTTGGTTGGTTCGTTCCCAGAGCTCCTTGTTGCTTATTCTTTCTGGCATTCTCATCTGATCTTCAGTAACGAGCCAGCGTAGGGGGCAGTTGTTGATGAATGTCTGTAGTTTATTGGAAATCCCTTTCGTGACGCGCCAAGCCTCTGAACCATACAGAAGCACTGACTTGACTGTCGTTGGTGTTGAAAATCCGGATGTTGTTCGCGCTTTGTGGTGAGTGGGGAAGATCTCCACACTGGTTTCAGGCTAATGAACGCCTGTCTTGCCTTTCCAATTCTGACTTTGGCATCCTCGTCTGTGCCTGTGCCGCCCGTGTAGTTGAAACAGTGCTTCCTAGATAGGTGGAGGAGGTTATTTCCTTTGAGTTTCTCCCGTTGATGGTGATTGGAGTTTGTTGTTTTTGTTGGTTGTTGGTTGGGTGTCTTCATCACTTCTGTCTTCTCTATATTCATTTGAAGTCCCGTTTAGCTGCCTCTCCTGTCAACTTGTTAGTTTTCGTCTGTAGATCTTCAAGTTTGTGTGACACCTAACACAAGTCATCGGTGGCGAGATCCAGATCTTCTAGGTTCTTTTCCGCAGTCCAGTCAGTGTATACCCCTCTTCTCGCCCACCACTGTTTGTGGCATGATCCAGTCCACCACAACATAATCAGGAATATCATGGGTGATAGTAGGTAACCTTGTTTCACCCCTGTCTTCACTTCAAAAGCATCACTGAGCTTCCGGTTGTGAATTACTTGGCATGTGGCGTCTTCATATAGTTGTTGAATGAGTTTGATAAAGGTTTGTTGTATTCTGTAGTGTTGAAGCAGTTTCCAAGTTATCTCTCGGTCGACGCTGTCTATAGCCTTCTCAAAGTCGATGAAGTTGAGGTAAGGTGAATAGTTGACTGCCATTCTATACTCTGTTCTATGATGATGCGTGGCGTGGCGTTGCAATTTGGTGCGCACATGATTTATACTTCCTGAAGCCTGCCTGTTCCGGTTGTAGTTTTGAATCCAGTGCATCCTTTAGCCTCTCTAGGATGATGTGGCTTAATATTTTGCTTGCTATGGGTGGACAGGAGAGTGATTCCGCGCCAGTTATTGCAAACACTTAGGTTGCTCATCTTTGGGAGTTTGATAAGATAACCCTTCTTCTAATCAATGGGCAGCTACCTTCTCTTCCTTCCACACCTTCTGCAATAGTGGTGTGAGCATCTCTGCTGTTGTCTCTGCGTCTGTTTTAAGTACTTCTGGTGGGATCCCGTGTGGTCCTGCTGCTTTCCCACATTTCAGTAGCTTTATGGCGTTCAGGACTTCCACTTTCCTTGGAGGATTTGTGTTCACTTGTAGTTCTGTGGCTGGGCTGCAGGTGGTATTTCTGGAAGAAGTGCAGGTGATAGTCGATTCAAGAGCTTCTTGAAGTGGTCAGCCCATTGTTTCCTTTGTTTCTCTTCTTTCGTAATT